CAAAAATATTTGGTTTACAAGCACATATACAAATTAAAAACAAAATCACACCACACATAAATTAATAACACTTGTGGACACTTGAAAATAGTGTAGGGGAATCCTTGGTTCCAGGTACAATTGTCCAGCATCTGGGGTACTGGCAAAATGGGAAAACAAAAAAGAGAATCGCTTGGTTTTGTCTAACCAGTGCCCCATGGGTTAGAAAGAGGGCATTATCCATGTGGTATTGATGCGATTAATTTTTCCAAAACTATCTTTTGCTTCCCAAGCATAAAGAAGTGGTTAATACCATTGCTATCATTCCAATCTGTGGTAGCTTGACTAACATAGGTCTACCTGCATAGAAACCTATAGAGTATTCTCCAGGTTTCTTATGCATTTGCAGTGCTATAGTTGTAGCAGTAACACAAAAAGCTTTAACTTGATGACAACCATTTCTTCTCCATCTATTGTTTAATAGATAGATGGCACTGGAGAGTAGATTTGCAACCACACCGTCAATACGGAAGTGTGTGGCTGACCAGAGGGGATATTGTTTAACATTAGTAATTTTGGATGGGGGCAAAGGTATAGGTATTTATAGCAGACTGATACTTTTAGGTTTACCTTGTCCATCAAACCTCCATACTGATCCATCAGGGAGTCAAACCATGCAAAAGGTGATGTAATGATCCCAAGGCTAGAGCTTGCCACCATAAGGTATTTTGGTCTGGATCAAATAGTTTTTAGATTCTGGCATATGTGTGTCATCATGGATTTGATGGACTTGCCAGGGAATTTTGGGTGGCTTCCCAGAGATTGGTCCAACTCACCCCATGTGGTACCCATAATTTACTAATTCCTGAACAAGTTCATTCCAGGTAGGTATGTGAATTTGCTCTCTAGGTGGTTGCGCTGCTGCTGCAGCAGCATTCAGAGCATGATGCATGTGGATATGATCTTGGACATTTGATACATATATTCCTTTAGACTATCTGGAATGCCACAAGTGAGAGGGGTCAATCTGGCCGGATCGATGGGAGCTAGCATTGGGGATCAACGTAATACATTCCTCTCATACACTGCTTGTATACATGCTGCCTTTTGCACAGAGGCTGATAGATCTGAAAATCCTGAAGTTGTAATCATGAGAGGATCTCCTCTTTTCTGTGGGTCTATGCCTCCAGCCCAATAAGCAGCTCGAGTAGTTATTGAGTAATAGTGGTTACCTGCAGTGGTGGTTAGGAAAACTCCAGGTCCCCAATAACCTTCTGCCTCTTCCTCGTTCAGGAAGACCTGATCTCTGCCCATGAGGGAAATTCTCCATGCATACTCTGTTTCCATTTCATCTGGGCATCTAGAATGTTTTCTTGCAATTTAGATGAATCAGTAGGAGATCAGGATACGGTATGCATGGTAGATTGGACTTCTCCATCTCCATTATCAAATAACTCAGAGTTAACTAATGGTCAAACCTGTATTGGTTTTACTAAGTTCAACTATTTGTTTCCCCAATTTTCCATATGTCTCCCTTTCAAAAGCCAATGATGCTTTAAGTACCTTATTGTCCAATTCCATAGCTTGATATTCTACATTTGCAATCTGTCTGAGGTAGGGTGGCCTTTTGATTTCCTGCTATGTGCATGATAAACAAGACCCCAAGATTGCACAAATAACTCCTCTACCTTTTCCTATTTTTACTTTTTGTTGACTCTTACACTGTATTATTTATTCTACTACTTTGTCCTTATCTTTCCAAAATTTCTGGGTCCATTCTATCCCTGCCTGGGATGGTGCACAGTTATGTTCCTGCAGTACTTTATTCATGGCAATCCTGTCTGTGACACCAATTCAATTTTCCATTTAAGGTGACAAATTAATTTGGTAAGAGATGAATCCCCTTGTGTTCTAGCTGGTCCTCAGAGATGAGAGGGGCTAGAGGTGGCTGGCCTTATCTCTTAATAGCTATGCCAATTGCTGTGACTGTAGGCCTGACACCAGATGCAAGAACAGCCCATGTGCTGTAGTTCTGCCCGCATCCAAGAGAAGCAGTCAGGTTCATGAATAGTAGTTTTTTCTTATGCAACATCTACAGATTCTTTGAGATTGCCTACATTGTGTGACTGAGATTGTGATAAATGCACAAACTGCAGGTTGGCCTTATATAGCACAAAAATGACTGCAACCACATAATTCCTGAGTAAGCACTTGGTGTAATCAAGGGCACAAATCTTACCAAAAGGTATCCTTTCTGGTGTGAGCAAGGAGCACAAACCAGTCATCTGATCTGTCCCTCCCATACAAACTCCAAGCTGGGGGTAGTATTTATCTAGATGTGTATGTGTGAGTGGCACTGTGGTCAAGCCATTGAGTGATAACCCAGCCTTGATGAAATGTGCTGGTGGTGAGAAGAAGAATAATGGGAGATAATGTCCTCATAGTTATGTAAAACAGTAACATTCCCTGAGAAAAGTGGAAGAACAGGACCTCACAGCCTTCACTTGGCTTGGCATTTCTCCTTGGTGCCATGGCAACACAAATCATTGCATCTTCACCCTGTCCTGTGTTTTGTTCTGGACACCAGATATTAAGGAAATGTGTATTTTGCAGTTTTTTCAGTATTTTGTGTTTCCCACACTTCACAATCCTTTACTCCTGTTTCTTCTGATTCAGTTTTGGAGAAGTCTTCCAGAAGAAGCAGACAAATCCCTCTAGATGCTGTATTTCAAACTATATTCTGTATATGCAATGTCAGGAAATGTGATGTAGGAAACAATTCTACATTAACTGAAAGATGGGCTATTTAGCCTGTCAGGTCTTTTCCATTTATAATTTAGCATATTCTCCATCTCCTGTGGTGCAGCTGTGCTATACTAACTGCAAAGAGACAGTCTCTTGCACCTGAGGATAAAGACTTTCCATAGCACCACCAGGTCAGTATAACAGTTACATAGTGTCTTAGTACTTGACACCTTATAAAGAACTGTGTCAATGTGAGAAGTCCCTAGATTAGGTCCACATAGGTCTTTTAAAGTATTTCTCCTTATGATAATAACTGAAATAATTTACATGGTCAATGACCCTTCTTTCCTTTTGCTTAGTCTGATTGCTTAGTGAAGAATATCTGAAATATTATGTTATCAGAATGAAGAAATGCCAAACATATTTGAATAGCTTATTATTCGACATAAAATGCAGGCTTATTTGTCTTCTAATATATTCAGTTTAATGTTTATCCAGTACGAGAATAGAAAGATATAAACTACTGATGCAAGTCCATTCAATATGTTTGAACATTATAGTAATTTTTAGCTTATGAGTTTCTAATACAATACGGTCAATTATTTGTCGGGAATTCACTATACCTGTCCTTTACTTCAAAAGAATGTTCTGAAGCACTTATTATTAGAGGTTCTATGTTTTTACTACAAGAGGAATGATGGGACCTTTTCCACCCAGAAAATATTTCCTTGTGCCTATTAAGCAAAGAATTTGTAAAGATAGCAGAATACATTGTGACCTCTACAATTAATACACAGTCCAAACAAGACAATATATCATATGTAACAGTAGTCTGACTTATACTTGCTGCTGAAGATGGTTTTGTGGAACCTGGAGGTTGGGCAAATACTTCTTATAGCTATATATCACATGTTACAACACACATAATTGCATTGGATTATCCCAAAGACTTTCTGAAAAGAACAACTGCATTTCATAAACAATTACTATAAACATAGTCCTTCTCTCTAATGGTATATAGGTGGCAAATGTCTGTTGTGGTTTGAGGCCAGAGGGTAACTGAGCACCACACAGCCGCCCACTCACCCTTTCCCCCTCAGGAATGGGAAAAAGAAAATAAAGTAAAAGGCTCAGGAATCGAGATGGGACAGGGAGGCTCACCCATTACAGTCGTGGGCAAAAGAAACTCATCAGGGGAAGAAAAAGAACATCACTTTAATTCAAACACTAACAAAAACAACACTTAACAGACAAGGTGGGACAGTGAGAAGCACCACCACATCCAAAAACACCTCCCCCCGCCCCTCCCTTCTTCCCGGGCTCAGCTCTGCTCCCAGTATCTCTACCTCCTCCCCCAGAGGCGCAGGGGCAGGGGATGGGGGTTACAGTCAGCTCGCTGCTCCTTCCTTCTCAGGAGGTAGAGTGAACACCTCACATTCCCCCCCTGCTCCACGTGGCTCCCCTCTCACTGCAGACAGTTATCCACGAACCTTCTCCAGCGTAAGTCCTCCCCACGGGATGCAGCTGTTCCCACACTGACCCAGCGTGGGTCACCCCTGCGTGTTGCAGTCCTCTCGGCACTGAACTACAACAGCGGGGGCCACTTCTCCCCTCAGAGTCCCGGCTTACTTTAAGCACAGATGCCTGCTCTGGTGTGGGCTCCTCCACAGGCTTCAGGTTGACATCTGCTCCACCATGGACCTCCATGGGTGGTGGTGGGGGTGGTCTTGCCCTCTCACCATGGGATACATGCCATGTCTCTGCTCCAGCACACCTCCCCACCTTCCTTCTCCTTCCTTTCACTGACCTCCGTGTTCACGTAGGTGTCCTTTTGGTTAACTCCTCCTCACAAGTCCTCCACCGCCTCTCAGGTTCCCCTTCTTAAATCTGTTATCACAGAGGCACAGCCAACATCACTAATTGGCTCGGCCTCGGCCAGAGGTGGGTCTGACTTGGAGCTGGGGGAGCTTCGAGAAGCTTCTCACAGTGGCCACCGCTGTGGCCCCCTCCCCTGCTACCAAAAACCCTGCCACACAAACCCAGATCAAAGCCCTTACAAATTACAGAAGATTTGTGTTACCCATATAAATTGCCTTCATAACTTAAAGATATACATACTTACTAGGATTTGGGTTAGAATTATTGTCATTTACAACATATGCCTAGAATAAATATATAGCTTCTGAAGATAGCTAATCAAAGTCATGGCCTTTCCTATATACAAACAGCAGGTTAACATTTAAAAAGTAACATAGAAAGCTGTACATTTTATACAGTTTTTCAAATATATTCATCTTTATTTGATGTTATTTCGATTTTGAATCCAAAGTACATTTACACAAATGTTTTCAAAGGCTGAAGTCCATGTGAAAGACAACAGTGAAGTACAAATCACATACCCTTGTGTAACTATCCCATTTTACAGATGGTAGGTACGGAGACAGGATAGTAACCAGCTTGTGACTTCCTAGGAGCTATTTACATTGGTCATCTGTAGGTACGTAGCTGGTTTAGTCCACAGCTAGTCTTCCTGTACTCTCTTGGCTGCCAAAAGGGAAAGTGAATTTTCTCCATTTTGACCAGAAGCTTCTCCTAAACACCTTTTGGGTTGGCATTTCTTTCTCTCTTGGCTATGGGAAGAGCAGCCAACTAGCTTAGCTGACTGACACTGGGCAATATCACTGTGCTTCTCATTGTTAACATTTTTCCTCTTCAGCTCTTGTTCTATACAGCTTTAATTCATCCTGTTTCTACTGTAGTATAATGCTGTCACAAGTCCAGCCATGAGTTTTTGTTATGGGTGAGATCTTCCAAACCATTCAGTAGACTCCACCCCATGTTAAACGTAACTCTAAGTACTAATACGCGCTTAAGTAGTGCACTGAATATGACAACACATAGCTGTAAACTGGTGAAAAAATTTCTATCACTTGCCTACAAAGCAATTGTAGTAGCCAACAACTGCTGTTTACATAGTATTTTGTTAATTTTTGGTCCAGAGGTAGAGAAGAGACATGAGTAAACTGTTTCTGTTCCCTAACTGGGCCTGTTCATATAGATAAAATGCAAGGAAGATGATGTTAACGATATAAAAGAAAAAAGTTCTGAAAGTTCTTGTATATAAAGAAATTCTGCTGAAGAACTTTAATTTTCTGTTTGAAAGACAGTACCACAAATAGTGGAAGGGTGAGAGGGAATATTAGATGTCCTGAGGGAAAAAGAATTGTAACAGCATAGGTGAAAAGTTGGTCCCATGATACCTGAATGCAAAACTCCGATTCATCAGGATGTTCAGGTTTGATTCTTGTATTGATGTAGATGTAATCTCTTTAATGGAGTTAAAATGGAAATGTGCATCATCCTAGTACAGAACTCATTTGGTTGCTTTCTTTTTTCTACTTCCAGGATGTAAAAATTAACTGTTAATGCTCTTAATGCTTTAAAAATATTTCCAGCTATTAATAAAAATTAATTTATACCTCCACGAACATGAGCAAATGCTGAGCTCTACTTACATAAGCAATCACCACTGATGAGAATTACTGATCCTATGTTGAAAGTCTCATATATTTGTCAGTATTTGCCAGAGTAAGGCCCTCATATATATAAATTAATGGTCAATCATCTATGTAAAAGTTTGTTCCATTTTTTACTTATATGTAAAATTAAAAAGCAGATAGTGCATATCACTTGTTATCTTTCTGTTCAGATTATTTATGAAATGCTGGTCAGTGAAAGTCAACCAGTCACCTTAATGTTAGAAAATGCATCTTTAGGACAAAGGACATAGTGAGAGACATAAAAGGTTTGAAGCATAGAAGCATATCCTCATAAGTACTAAGCAATCCCTATTGTTGGATGACCAGATCGAATCATCATTTAGGTAGGTGTCATCAAAGTTCACAATCTTCAAGTCTTTCTTAAGGTACATTTCATTCAGTTTGTTTAAGGTTCGGGCAAATGTATATTTAGATGCACAACTATATGCTTCCAGATTGTAGACTTTGTGGAAGTGCATATCAAAACATGGATTATCCTAAAAAAAAAAAGAGAGAGAATGAAATTATGATATACATTTCAGAGGTTTGAATGGCAGTCTGTTGTTCTGTGCCCAGCTACCTTCACAACTTTTTCTCAGTTTGATGGACTGGACTTTGCGTATTTTTGCCATTTATACTAAAGGGTCTTTTAAAACTTTACAAAGTAGCAGTTTGTTATTAGCTGCTATTCTTTGTCATTAGGAGTTTTGCCCGAGTAAAACTTTCAGAATTTGCCCAAGAGATACACTGCACTTTAATGGTATTATACAATCTTGTTTTGAAGTGATCCAATTTGTCATGTTGCCTAAAACACACTATATGAAAAGCACTTGCCTTGGACTATAACTATATATGCCTGTCAGAGGAGGAATATTGATTACCTTTCCTGTCTAAATTGTAATTCTCTGTGCTTTCTGGCCCTTTGGCCCAATTGATCCTAGCAGCAGCTAAGTTCTGAAAATTCTATGGATATGAATAACTATCAGGAATATTTATAGCAGTGTTAATCACCTTACAATTATGAGTGTGAGGTTCATTTAGGCTTTTCTTTAACCAAAAACGAGACAGATTTTGATCATCCCAGTTGTGGAAGGCTGAATCATCACTGAAGGACATTTTAGCACAACACTTCAGAAAAAAACTAGACTAAATTCATGCAGGCAAGTGATAAGGAAATCCTCTGGCTGCCTTGGCTAGGGAAGGGAAGGAACATCTCCAGAAGCAAGATACCTTGGAGAGGGGACATAAAGTATTATTATTTTGGGCTTTTTTTTCCCCTCTGGCCTAAACTGCAAAGAGCTCACAGGGTGCAGGGATACTCTGAACCTGAGCTCACCTCCTCCATCTCCCAGGTTCTCAGTTTCAGACTTGAGGGCAATGTGCACAGGACAGAAGGACAAACCAATTTGTCATTTTCCTTGGAGCAAGGCCCTGAAACCTTTCCTGTGGGCTCTTGATTTCTCTTTCACTAAGATAATGTAATCTGAATTCTATTTCATGTTCATTTGAAAGCGCTTTCAAAAGGAAAAAAAGTAAATTTTTCCTGGATTACATTTATTATGCATGGACGACTGTTAAAATGTCTTTTCATACATGCAGTAAAATACTCTCCTCAGCATATTGTTCTAGCTCTTGTAAAATATTATTTAATTCTACTTTTGGCATTGTTCTGTATTGTACTACTACAGCCTCTATTTACCCTACTGAAGTTGTATCTGAGAGATTAGGACATTTTTAGGAGTAAATCAGCCAGATCTAGCCAAATCTGTTTCACATTTACACACACAAATACACAAATATTTAATTGATCCAAGTGATGTGAGATTAAGCTATGTGAAAGAGGCATAACTTCATGAGCTGGTACATTAAACAATGCACTTACAAGACATTGTCACATAAAGAATAGTGTCTATGTGACATTCTACATAAAAATATTTAATGAAATTTTGTTTTCAAATACACATGAAAATCTATGGGATTAACTCCAGTTTACACTGGGAGCTGAAGGTAGAAAACTTTTATTCCCAGCTATGATGAATAAATTAAAACATCCAGCTTGTCCCTTAGATCTCACTAGAGTGAAGATCACAACAAACAAGAGTCTCTCATTCGCCCCCCCTCCCCCAACAGTGCAAATGTGATAGAGTCTCTCACGTGCCATAAAACCAAAATTCCTTGGAGGTTTGATTTTTTTTTTTTTTTTACATAACTTTCTTTTTCAGATAATGCATTTTAATTGCATTTTAATACTTGCATCCCAAACTGCAACACAAAAAAAAGTATACTTTAATATATGTATTTAATAATACATAACACTTACAGTATCTGCTTCTTTTCCATCAATCATCTCCAGATCTTTCAAAAACCACTTTTCAACTATTTCATATTTCTCCTCTCGATCCACTCGCAAGTGTTTAACCATACATATTTCTACTTCTTCACTTTTAGTCACTGGGAGAAAAAAAATAGTTTAGACATGCATGTACTTCCCACAAGTTCCAATAATAAAAGATTTAATCAAACTACATTTTAGATAATAACTTAAATTATGAGGGGCAGGACTGTATAGGGCTGTACTGTACTTAATAGTTTTATTTTGCCCAGGTAGTAGGAATAGCACCATGTTCTCAGTCTATGAAACCCATCAGCTTTTAGTAGATATAGGATTTACCTTACCCATCCTGTGAAAAGAGAATCTTGTCTGTGCAAAAGCCTTTCAGCTGAATACACTAGCAGTGCAGTGAAAGCCTGATTCTGTCACTGAGTCTGTATGGATAATTCACTTACCCTACTTACTTCACGGGGGAATCTTTCAGAGTGCTGTAGTTAGACAATTGCAAAACCTCTACCAAGGCTCTGTATTTACATGATTTGTGCTATACCTTCCATGTTATGGATGAAGTTTTCTTACGAAGCCATTACTTTTTTTAAAGCAAAACTCTTATTTTCCTATAAAATATGTAAGTAGGCCACTTAACAAAAATAACATTGACAGTATTTCTTAAAGCTTCAAGTTGCCCGGGGCTATCTCTGTAGAAATTACTATTTTCCAACTTAGGTGGGAAATGTGAATAAAAAGAGCTCAAATGTGAACAAAAAGAGCCCGAAGACACTCTTTGCAGCAACTACCCTTATTAGCTGATTACATTGAGCACTGCATAGGAGATTGGGTTTTTGTAATGCTCAACAATGAGTGTGAAAAGCACCAGAGCCCGAACAATCTCCTGCACAACCAGCATGAGGGCTGCAGGGCAGACCACCTCCCCAAAGCCATCCGGTAGCCTCAGGTAAGGGCGAGATGTCACCTGTGTCTGGTCTGGCAGGAGCATTTGGATATCACAGCGGGAGGCTACCCATACAGGAACAAAATTCTTTTATTTCTAAATACTGCCGGAATTTTTGAAAACCCGTTTTGAAACGTGACTAGTTTTATCTTATTCCTGTTAAAATGTCTCTTACTTCTCACCTGTTTATTAGAAAATGGTTACTAAATATAGACAAACAAATGACATATATTGAAGACAAGCTTTCTTTCCACTGTAAAGAACAGTGGAAAATATATAAATTGATTACAATTTCTGTCAGCCTATAGCCTCTCTGCCTGGAAAATACAAATCACTTGCTTTTTTTTCTGGTCCTATCAGTCATAGTTGCTCAATGATTTTTAACCAAAGGATCACCACCATGTTGTCTTCTATGGAGAAGTTACAGTGGGTTTCATTTACAAGCAAACCTAGCAGGCTAACTTTAGAAAGTTCTCTTTGTTACTTTCAGTTTCTCCCTTTTTGCTTGTTTGCTTGCCTGCCTGTGAGGGAATATGTTGTCTCTCTCAGAGTTCTCTCAGAGAAAGGAAACAAGCCCAGGCCCAGAAGCCCCCAGTCCTGTCAGAAATACAAGGGGATATCCTGGTGGCCCCCAGGTCCCACACAATGCCACCTCTCTACCCCTCGTACAGGAGCAGAAATTGTATGACATAAGGCCAGAGCACAGATGTGTTAGCAATAAAACCAGGAGCATGTCCTACCCAGTGGTGAAACTTGGATGGATTATTTTCAACTAAAAAAAAGTGAAAAAAAAAAAAAACAAAACAAAAACAAACAAACACCCAAATCTATTTCTTTACTTTTCCTGAATTTTAGATATTGCTTGTTTTTGCACTCAGTTAATAGAGTTCAAGAAAAATTAATTTTTTATATAGACCATGAGCTCAGATCTACTGTGTCATTCTGTTAAACTCTAAAAAGCTTTTCTTGGGAAGGGCACGGCTATGGCAATGCCTTCATAGATCACAAACTATTTCTTAAAGTCTTCCACAGACTGAACACCTTTTTCTATCGATAATACGATGTTATCCTTACCATTCTCCTCAGGCATACCAATACTGGGTTGTGAAAATTCCTGAATGTGGCTGCATTTAAGCTTTACATTCTTCCAGGGTTTATAAAGAATTCAGTGAAAAGTTATTATTGCTTTCACACAAGAACTAGGACTTGCTATTGTGAAAAGGAAGTGAAATAATGTTTGGGCATGTGTCACAAAAATAAGATTGTTCAGTTATCCATACCAAAATTTTGTTGTAATATAGATTTCAAAAGGCATAAACTTCTAAAGTTTTGCCTGTAGTCTGACTGATTTTTGTTGTTGTTGTTGTATGGTAATTTGAAATCAACAGGCATATACTGTGGTTGCATTGCAGGGATGAGATTTTAGATAATGTGTTTTGCTCCTACTGAATCACAGCAGATTACAGTAGCTGCTGGCAGCTGGATGCAACCCATCTTTCAGAATCAGATTTCCACTTCACTCCCCGCTTACTTGACTATGCCTGAATATATTAAGAGAGTTTATATTGGATACTGGAGAGATCCCACTCTTAACATTCTACATAAATTTTCCTTTATGTCTTCAGAGACTTCTAATCAGTTAATCTGGTTAGAGGCTTTCTTTAATGGCTTGTTCTCCTTTACCTTAAAAAGAAATTTTCAGTGAAGGTTTTAAAGGTGCATAATGTTATTATTTCTCCTCTTTGGATGTTTTATAACAGTGAACTGTTTAGATCTACCACATGCAACTAAACGTACTTCTACCAGATAGCTTTATAAACTCTGACTAAAGTTGGTATTTCTGTACATTTAGAAGTTCTAGGATATTCAGGAATCCATTTCTTAAGACTGTTCTTACAGTTCTAAAACACAAAGCCTGTTCTACTAAAATTACGGGATCGCAGGGAACATAGCTTGCTCGGTATTTCCAGTATTCTGTAAACCAACTGAAACACTGTAAATATTTCAGATGTTTAGAAGGATACTGATCACAGAATATGGTTGACACCATTCCATACTGGATGTTAACCCAATCTATGTCTCAAGTACATAGATTATTTTTGCCTGTTATAGATAGTTTGAACCTGAGGAGAAACCAGACTGGAAGAAGCCTTCACTTCAGCCTAGCTACTTAGGGATGAGAGCACTGCTCTTTTTTATTATCTTTCAGTGTTGTGAAAATAAAAAATATGTATTAAAAAACCCCAAACAAACAAACAACAAAACCAGCAAGCTTTTCTGATACCTTGTCCTAAAACCCTTATGAAACAGATATCAGATTTAGTAAAAAGCCAAATAATTAAGTTTACCACTCACAGCAATCTTTTTTTTTTTTTTTATTCACAGTTCGTGCTAATTACTAGCTCAAACGTGTATTTATTTAAACCACAAGCCTAGTTTATTGTTCCCAAAGTAATTGGGACAAGATGTAGGACATAGACCAAGGCAAGGGATAGTGCAAAAGCTCAAAGGATTATAAATGCTTCCTGCAGCGTTAACATACTGTTACGCTTTCTTATGGAAAACCTTATTCGAACTAGAGGAAGGTACTGCTGTTTAACAAGCAGGTGAGGCACTCGCAGCACCGCCACGTCGCGAACACCCTCCGCGGCTGCGTGGGGAGACCCACGTTTCCTCGCCGACACCAAAAGCTCAAGCCCGTGTGAAACGGGAGCAGGAGAACGCGCTGTCCCCGCAGGCTGCGGGCAGGGCGGGGGCAGCGACCGTCCCCCCGGGACCCCCCCGAGGCCTCGCCGGGAGCCCCCCGGAACCCCGCCGGGACCCCCCCGGAGCCCCGCCGGGACACCCCCGAGGCCTCGCCGGGACCCCCCCGGAACCCCGCCGGGACCCCCCCGGAGCCCCCCCGGGACCCCCCCGAGGCCTCGCCGGGACCCCCCCGGAACCCCGCCGGGACCCCCCGGGACCCCCCCGGGACCCCCCCGGAGCCCCGCCGGGACCCCCCCGGAGGCCCCGCCGGCGCTACCACCGCCCCGAGCCGCGCCGCTCCCGGCTCCCCTCTCCCTCGCGTCCCCACGCACCCACCCGCTGTGCCACCCACGCCCCGCTCCCCCAGCACGCCCACGCGTGCTCGCCCACGCTCCCGCACCCCCGCCCCGGCGGGCTGCCCCGCTACCTGCGGCGCAAAGGTAGCAGCGCCCGGCGCCCGAGCCCTCCACCTCGATGAATTCGTGCAGCCGCTGCCGCCGGGGGCCGAACAGCCTCTTCGCCAGCTCCTCCTTCACCAGCGAGGACATCGCCTCCCTCCCCTCCCCGCCGATCTGCTCAGCGGCGGGTACCGGCCCCCCGTACCCCGCAGCCGCCGCCCCCGCGGGACACGGCGGCGGAGGCGGCCCCCCGGCCGTGCGGGGCCCCCGGCCACGGCGGGGGCATCGCTAGCGGCGGGGCCCCCCCGGCGGGACCCCGCACCGCCGGGGCCCGGCCGCCGTTAAGGCTCTGGCCGCCGGCGGGGGGGGGGAAGCCGGGCCGCGGATCTCCCCGCCCCACGCGTGCCCGCACTCTCTGTGCTCGGCGGGGGCGCGGGGCCGTCCCCGGCGGGACGCTCCGGGGACAGAGGGTCGGTGCCGGCGCCGCTGCCCCGCCAGTGGCGGGGAGCGAGGTCCCGGCGGCCGTGGCGGGGCGGAGGTGCCGTCGGGGAGAGCCGGGGCGGGGGAACACGCGGGGCAACCGCGCTGCGGGCCGCGGGCCAAAACAGGAGCTGTCAGTCAGCGCGGTTCTTTTTTTCTCAGCAGATAAAAAGAGTTAGTAGAGTTTATAAAAGGCATTAGATAGCCTCATGGCGGTTACTGCTGCTACTACACTAATAGCCTGAGGGCTGTTAATACAGTTAAGGGGGAAATGACCTTATGCTGCTCCTTCTAAACAGCGAGCGACCTCACCTCCGTGCAACAGGAGCCCCCCAGAGGGTGGGTGCAGCCAGGGCACCTGCCGTCCTCAGTATGTCGGTACCTGGGAGGGGCCTTTTACATCAGACACGAGTGTATGTGCAAAAACGCTGGTTGTTCCTCCCACTCTGCAGGTGTGTGGGTAAAGTTCCTGGGGGCAAGTACTGTTCTACTGCCAGTATTTGCTGTAGCCTGTGTTAGAGCTTTCCCTTTGGACACATTTCTGGCTGCTGACAGAGGTTGGATATTCTCCTCTAATGCTTATGCTCATGCTTATTGTGCTTAAATACCTTACTGTGTTTTTCATTCTTGCAATCTCAATGTAACTTAGAAAGGAATCTAACCCTAGAATAAAACTGAGTGCTAAAGTGAAGATTTAGAAGGTGAGGTAAAAAATCTTAGTATTTAAAAAAGAAAAAAAAATATTTGACAGTATTATTAGAATAATTTAGTGCCATAGGTCTACACGGTGCTTTGCTGTTGTGAAGAAAAATGGCATCAAGTAAAATAATGTTGATGTGTAAAATTATCATACAATCATAGAATGGTTTGTGTTGGTAGGGACTTTAAAGATCATCTAGTTCCAACCCCCCTGCCACGGGCAGGGACACCTTCCACCAGACCAGGTTGCTCAAAGCCCCGTCCAGCCTGGCCTTGAGCCCTGCCAGGGAGGGGGCAGCCACAGCTTCTCTGGGCACCCTGGGCCACTGTCTCACCACTCTCACAGGAAAGAATTTCTTCTCCATATCTCATCTAAATGTACTCTCTTTCAGTTTAAAACTCTTACGCCTCATCCTATCCCTACACCCCCTGAGGAAGAGTCCCTCCCCACCTTTCCTGTAACCCCCTTTAAGTACTGGAAGGCCACTATAAGGTCTCCCCAGAGCCTTCTCTTCTCCAGGCTGAACAACCCCAACTCTCTCAGCCTGTCCTCATCAGGGAGGTGCTCCAGCCCCCTGATCATCTTCGTGACCTCCTCTGGACCCCCTCGAGCAGGTCCATGTCCTTCTTATGTTGGGAGCCCCAGAGCTGAATGCAACACTTCAGGTGGGGTCTCATGAGAGCAGAGTAGAGGGGGAGAATCCCCTCCCTTGACCTGCTGGCCACACTCGATGCAGCCCAGGACACAGTTGGCTTTCTGGACTGCAAGTGCACATTGCTGGCTCATGGTCAATTTTCCATCCATTACTACTCCCAAGTCCTTCTCCGCAGGGCTGCTCTCAATCCACTCATCCCCCAGCCTGTGTTTGTGCTTGGGATTGCCCTGACCCATGTGCAGGACCTTGCACTTGGCCTTGTTGAAGTTCATGAAGTTTGCATGGGCCCACCTCTCCAGCCTGTCCAGGTCCCTCTGGATGGCATCCCTGCCCTCCAGCATGCCGGCCACACTACACAACTCAGTGTCACCATCAAACTTGCTGGGGGTGCACTCGATCCCACTGTCACGTTGCCCACAAAAATGTTAAACAGTGCTGGTCCCAATACCGACCCCTGAGGAACACGACTCGTCACTGCTCTCCACTTGGACATTGAGCTATTGGCTGCACCTCTTTGAGTGCGACCACCCAGCCAATGCCTTATCCACCGAGCGGTCCATCTGTCAAATCCATGTGTCTCCAATTCAGAGACAAGGATGTCGTGTGGGACAGTGACAAATGCTTTGCACAAGTCTAGGTAGATAATGTCAGTTTCTCTTCCCTTGTCCAACAGCACGGTAACCTTGTTGTAGAAGGCCACCAAATTTGTTAGGCATGACTGGCCCTTAGTGAAGCCATGTTGGCTGTCACCAATCCCCTCCTTATTTTCCATGTCCCCTAGCACAGTTTCCAGGAGGATCCACTTCATCTTCTTGCTGGACACAGAGGTGAGACTGACTGGCCTGTAGTTCCCCATGTCCTCTATTTCCCTTGTTAAAAATGGGTGTTATGGTACCTTTTTTCCAGTCAGCTGGAACTTTGCTGGACTGCCACGACTTATCAAATGTGATGAATCATGGTTTAGCCACTTCATCCCGAGTGGTGGCTAATTAAAAATTAAGGAGAATCATCTCCTTCTATAGATACTAAGCATATTGGCTAGATGAGTGGGAAAGGGATTGAAAAGAAAGTAAAAGGCTTAGGTTTATTCCCCTTGGTTTTGGTCCCATGTATTTGAAAACACAGTTGTGATTCTTAAATCTATAGATTCATTTTCATCACTGCTTTGGGAGAGTAAAGTTACTCTAAGCTTCAGGTTTTGGATATATTTTCTTATTACAGGGCTTAAGGACAAATTTCATCTCTTCCCTTTAAAGGTTTATTTTAGGAAAAGAGCACAGTGCTCATTTCTAAACCAAGACAACTGAATGTCAGGAAAGTGTCTTGGTATGGAGACCTCCCATGGGATAGCTGAGGCTCAGGGATGCTTGAATATTTTTTTGCAGTGTGAAGCAACAAATGCACGGACAAAAATACCTCCAGAAAAATACCTTCAACTCTAGAAGAATTTTCCACCAGTTCTTCCCTTGCGAAAGATTCAGCTGGTACTGGAAAAACTGCCTACATGGTAAGGGAAGCATCACTGGCATCTTGGAAGTGATGTAGCTGAGACAAGAGTGGTGTGTTGCTCTTGCCTTTCTTGATTTTTATTTTTCACAGTTTGATCAAACTGTAAGTCATTCTGCCTCAGTTTTCATGAGTGTTTTGATGTTTGGTATTTTAATACTATTAAACTTTTTATCTTTTTGAATATTCTTGCATATTAATGTTGTGCCACTGGTTAGTAGTACATGGCTAGCAGAAATTTGTATGTTAACAGAGCATTACATTGAAAGCTATGACTGGGCTTTAGGTGGGGCTTTAGGGCTGTGTAGCTCCACCTGAGCAGTACTAAAGAATGGTCAGTTGCTTCTCTACCTTCTGCCTTCTGCTGGCCATGCCTACTTAGATTTCACTGTATGGAAAGAGCATTGCCTGCATACTGACTTGAGCATCTGTTGTAGATGCTGGGAAAGTGTGAGGCTCATGGCAAACACATTCATAAATATCTGCATATTATGTTCCAAACCATATACTCTTAAAGCACATACAAAGATAAATTACAGTTTTCATATTTAGAAATCTTTTGGAAAAGGAGCAAAAGTTTTCAATAACTTACATAATATTTGAACAATTCTATGTGTTAGATGCAGCTGTCCAAAAAAGGAGAAAACTTCTATATAGACTTTGGTAAAAGAGTCCTTCCTCTGGATTTATTTCTGAGATGTTGTATATGCAGATAGTGCTCAGAAAATCCTATCCCGCGATGTAACTATTTTCTTCATACCTCCTAATAAATCAAATTATATTTTCAAAAGTATTATAGAGATTAAATTACATCTGCGATATCCTTTAATGCATTCTCAAATGCTACATTAAACAACCACTCTGAGTATATATGTAGAAAGATACAATTGTGATTTTAACGTCGAATGTTTAAATAAGAAACAGAAAAATTTGTAATTCACTATTGCTCTTGATTATTTCGATTCTTTATTCATCCTCTGTGAGTAGCAGGACAGATTTAGTGCAGATGGTAGCAGGACTACCTGTAGTATTTTGGATAATGCCCATAAACATTTTTTTTTTTCCATGTCTACCCTATTCTTCATAGTTTTTTCTCCCTTACTAGATTACAGAGGGGAGAAATGACCATTTCATTCTGGAGGTGACCCACAAGATAATTTTCTTCCTCTCTATTTCTCTATTACTTTGCTGACTTAGGTGGACTGTAAATAAGGCTTGGTAGGCTTTAGAATCTCTTTCCTCTACAGCATTCGTAAAGCTATTTTTTATGTCCCCTCATGTGGTTGTCAGTATATTAAAAATTTTGAAGAATGATTCTTACATTAGGTAAAGAGCATCTGCAGTGCCTACCCAGAGCTTCTTGTCTACTTACACATTCTTCTGTCATCTGTTTCCTTGCTCTGTTTCTGTTCTTCCTGTTGCTTTTCTTCTGATGTGCCTCTTCTTTCACCCTCTGCAACATATGCCTCTTATGGATTTAGAGGCTCTTTTTAGATGACTCATGCAAAAAATAATTCAGATTTCATATACAAAGCTAGAATTTAACTGAGTGCAGGTAAGCATCGTATAGGCACATGTGTAAGCATGCATTCACTGGAAAAGAAGCGTATGAAAGTGAAGGCTATGATAGGAAATCCTGGTGGTTTGCAATTTGAAGCTCTCCAGGTCACTCAGATTTCATCCCACTCAAAGCCTGCCATTACAAGCTTCCCTTTTAATATTTCTTCTTGCTGGTATTATTATTGCCAAATGGAAAAAGAAACAGTTTCCTAGAAGCTGAGTGGGTGTCTGGAGCGGTGAGATTTCAGATCTATCTTAGCAGAAGTACTGTAGGCCCAAATCCTACAGTTCATA